GTCACCTTTACCACGGTCTCAAACACCGCGGTGCTCTGTAGAAACTATCATCCCAGGAAGCTCTGACTGCAGACGCGATTCTTACGCCACAAACCTCCCAGCTGTGTCACCTGAGCTCCTTTCATGATCCTCTTGGCTTTCATGCTGAGGTAGAAATCTCCCCACAGGGTTTTCAGTAGCACCTCCTTCTTGATGCCCATCCTCTCGCTGTAGATGTGAGCAAAATGCCGGATGCTGGAAAACACAGAATCAGCCTCCATGAACATCCAGAAGCGTGTTTTGTTTTTTTGTTAAAGGCTAACAGTGACACAGACGTGAACTTTAACCCCGGGCTGATCAGCTCTGCTCAGCTGATCAGCCCGGGGTTAAAGTTGTATTTTATATTGAAATTCATGCAAAGTCATAAATCTGGTCAATGTATTTTACTTTGAAAGGCAAACACCCAGCAGGGTCTGTATTCATGTTACATTTAAGAACGGCGCCATCTGCTGGATGATCTTCCTGAACTGCACCCAGCCCACAGGGTGCACACATGTACACACAACTCGCCTTATTAAACTAAACTGGTGCTTCTGTTTAGACTGAAACAAACCTGACCCCACTCGCCTGTCCTTCGGGTTTGCGTGCACCTTTATTCTGCGTGAGGGTTTTAATGAAGACTCTTCCTGCACTGCTGTCTAATATGCTTGTATATGCACATCTGCATTAAAGGCTCATGTCTCTCTGCACAGAATAATCTGTAACTCCAACAGCACCGAAGCCTGTGCTCAAACCAAACTGTGGCCCTAAAAGTGACTCCGGTCAGTTAATTTACACCAGCATGAATATCATGGCCTCACGAGCCGGCTGAGCCGCGGCACCGGACTCTTTCAGTTCATGTTCTGCGTCCTGCAGCCTGCAAACAAAGCTTTGCTCCCTCCGTGAATAGACGCCGCCTCACCTGAAGCCCCAGCCGTCGATGGCGCTGGCAAACACCACGTTTCCCTGGTCGGGAGAAAAGTAGAGGTGGGAGTCGTCGACCTCTTCGAGCCCGGCGCTCCAGTCGTAAACCTGGTCTCCGCTCGACTTCTCGCCCTCTTTCTCCTCCTCCTCCTCCCCCTTCCCCGCTCGCTCCTCCAGAACTTTAGATGTGAACAAAGTTCCCGTCACGGCGTTCACCTGCAAGGACAAATCACGGCGGTGCACGAAGCGTACGACTCAGCAGGTGTTGGTTAGAGACTGTAAAACGTGGTTGAGACAGAGCCGGGTCCTCACCTGTTCCAGGATCTTCTTCAGGTGAGTGTAAGCTTCCTGAGACGTTAGCTTCAGCTCCACCACGAGCCGATCAATCTTATTAATGACCAGAACCGGCCGGATGTTCTCCAGCCACGCCTGCCGCAGCACAACCTGGGTCTGACACACACACACCTGCGTTTGAGAGCTCGTGGTGAAACACCTTAGTTAGAAATCAAGACTGCGTCATAAACACAGAAACTGTACTGAAGTAGCAGCAGAGGGCGATAACGACGGTTTGGTTTTATTCACATTTCTTGCTGATCTCAGAAGCTCACTTCTGATGACAGCGATACTGAGATGGACTGCTGAGGAGTCCCTGTCAGTAAGTGCTGCTGTTAGCATCTGTCAGCATCTGTCAGCCAGCAGGAAAGTGGACCTAACACAGCTGGACTCTCATGTGATGTCTGAAGGCGGGATGATCAGGATGATGGTGGAGGACAAAATGGAACATGTGCAAAAACAGTCGGATATAGTCTGAAAGCCGTCTGTGATGTTTAAATTGAAAGTAACTTATAAGCCGTATGATGACTGTCTCCAGCCACATGTGTAAAACATGACCGGGCAGAACGTTGGCGTCCATCTGTCCCTGTACTCAACATGGCGGCTTCACCAAAACTGGCTCCGGCTGCGATCACGGTTCTGCTGATGAAAATGCATCAACTTGTTGGAAGATGTAATTACACACTAACGTGTATTTATGGGCACTTATTCTGTTACATTATGATGATGACCTGAGTGGCTCTGTGAGTATCTCAGGAGGCTGAGGTTCAGCCAATCACAAATCTCCAGTCAAGAATCTAAAACTCGCTCTGGTGGCGGAGAGTCCCAGACTTAAGCCCTAAAGGGGATGTGTCCCAAGAGGGTCACGGATAAGAAATCCCTAAGAGGACGTCTTAGGGAAAATCTGGGCCTCTCCACCAACTGCTCTTAACGAAGCTTCTCAGATGAGAGGTGGAACATCTTCAAGAAAGTCCAGACGCTTTTCTTTCCGAGCTCCTTGAACTTCCAAAAACCGAATCCACAGTAAATGACATTTCTCGTCCTTAAAGCGCATCTCTGGAACAGCAAGGTAGCAGATTTACCTGCGGACACACTCCCTCCACCGCATCGACAACTACAACAGCTCCGTCGCACAGCCGGACGGCGGTGGAAACTTCTGAGGAGAAGTCGACGTGACCCGGAGAGTCGATCAGATTCAGCAAGTACTCCTGATCTCCTGAGACGAGGCACACAAACACAGAACAGCAGTTAGCATCAAACAACACATCAGCGTCCAGCACGGGTGAAGGACGACCACACGGGGGCGTTTTTACAGAGAAATTCTGGAGCCTATCACAGCTGTTATAGGGCGAGAGGCGCGGCACAGCCTGAGCAGGTCGCCACCATCACAGAGGACAACACGCAGACAACCACTCACATTCACAGCTGTGGGCAGTTTAGAATCACCAGTTAACCCACCGCCACTAACTGCATGTGTTTGGACTGTGGGAGAGAACCCACGTACACACGGGGAGAACGTGCACTGGATGCAGACGCGCCCCCCTGCACACAGATACATGAGCCAGTCGGACGAACAGCACAGGGTTAGTCCCGAGGTGAAGTGAACCCCGCCGAACAAAGGAGCGTTACCGTGTGAGTAGTGCAGGGAGATGGCGCTGGACTTCATGGTGATTCCTCGGATCTGTTCATCCTCCCGGCTGTCCAGATACCTCAGCTGTGAAGATGCAGCAAAGAAGACAGAGTGAGAAACCTGCTCCGACCTGCCAAAGAAACTCTGCAGCCAACAGTCACTAACCTTCCCCGCCAGTCGACTGGATATGATGCCATTACTCGCCACTAAGCAGTCCACCAGAGTAGTTTTACCTGAAAACAGGCAGAAACTTAAAAAAGACATCCTGGCAGAAACCCTCAGGAACAGAATCAGTGTTTAACACTTTTAAATAAATGAATACAGAACATCTGTAAAATGTGAGTGTTAATAAAGCTTCAAAGTCTTGAGTAGTTCCGAGGTGTAATTAGATATATGAGAACACAGTGATGCTGCTGATGTCAGTCACTTTATACATCACGCCAAATCCTGTGTGTGTGTGTGTGTGTGTGTCACTCAGCAGCTGGCTGTAAGTAAATAAAGTGTGCCGAATATTAACTTGGGCTCTAACGATTAAAGAGCTCCCCTTCTTCATACTCTACCTGCTCGGCAGTCCCGCCGAACAGCAATTCAGTTAAATCTTCGATCGAGTTTGGCTCGTTGTGCTTGTTTATCCTCCCACAGTGACTCACGTGAGAACTGAGATAAATGATAAATAACTTTGACCCACCGTGATCAACGTGAGCCAGGATGCACAGGTTCCTGATGTTGGCTGGGTTTCTCTGCAGGGAGATGATCTTCTCCAGGCTGGTGTGTCCCATCGTGAACACCGACAACAAGCCCACCTTCACCTGCTAATGATGTTAGCCACAGCGCCAAAGCACGGACGGACCAACGGTCACCGGTTGGACCTGTCAGATAAGTCCGGGAAACACGGAGAATGAGAGCCGGCAGCGGAGGAGCCGCTAACTCTGCGGCTAACCACCACAAACTCCTCAAAAGAGGAGGAAGAGCACACTTCCGCTCTAAAGCAGCGACGCGACGTCCCGGGAGTCTAAATCAAGCCAAACGCACAAACCGAGCCGTGAAAAGCTCGCATCTTACAAACATGTGGGGGACACCCGACTCACGTTGTTTTCCCGGAAGTTGATGCTGCACTTTAACCACGCCCATTGGCATACGTCCTAGCTGCGTTCAGGAGCATTTGGGGAAAAAGAGCTTCGTCCTGGAGTCGCTGAGTTCACGCGCCGCCTCTCAAACCAAGTCAGCATTTAAACGGATGTAAACGTCACGGAGGAGGATTATGGAGGGCCAGGAGTGACAAAATGAATTGATTGAATACGCCATTAGATAATTAATGTTTCGTTTATCAATTCGAATTGGAATTAATGAATTAAATCTTTCAATAATTAATTAAATGCCTATTAATTTAATTTAAAACATTTAATAAATTATTTATTTCTAACTTTTGACTCATTTAATTATTTAAAAACGTATTTATTTATTCATTCAGAATTAATTCTGACACTAAATGGAAATTCACCTGAAAAGAAAAAAAACCCTGCTTGCCCCGCCACCAGAAATCTGAGAAATTCCCATTTTTAAATAAGACTTTTCCAAAAGTTCTTATATAAAGAACTGATTATGATGTAAAACACAGAATAGGTAGAATAATGCAGAGTCACAGGGATATTTCTAAAATCACTTTTCATTTATTACATAACTGCTTCTTTTATACTGCTGACTACAGACTATTATTATAAACACGGACATAAAACATATCAATGATCAGCGGCTGGAGGCACTTCCTGTGAGTTATCTCGTATGTTGGTGGTGTGTAGATACCAGTTAATATATAATCTGATTTGGGACAATCTGTTTTTTTAACACACTTCTTGCTCTAACTCACGTATCACCCAGAATGTGTCATGACCCAGCTGATAATGGTTTCAATGATGATAACGGCTAAAAACGTCATAACCAGTGTAAACCATCTAGACTCACCTCTGCCCCCTTTTCCATAACCTGAATATCACTTGATGTGGACCCGTGTCTGAGTCAGTGACAAACTCTCATCGCTCTCTGGGAACATTTTTATTTTCAAATGCAAACAAAAAGCAGCTCAGGAGTCATGAAGTGATCAAACGGTCTTTATTCCTTTGCACTGTCACCTGAAGCATATTTATGATTTGTCGCACGTTCTTTCAGCCAAGCTGGAAGTCCGCAAGCAGCGCGATGCCGTCACATCCGATTGGCCGTACCGTGCAGTCATCAGCAGCCAGAGAGAAACACTGAACACGTTACTGAGTGGTCTGTCACAACGGAGCAAGAAAACATCACATGCAAATCAAACCAGGCGAGGGGCAGCGAACGCACCACCTGATCAACGTACACAATACGAGTGCTTTGTATCCTAAACAGGAGTTAAAAATACAACAGGAAGTAAGAAAATAAAGGCCTCGCACAGTCTACACTCAGAGTACGATATTGCACTTAGAACACAGTATATACAGGACACTGTACAATGCAGCACGTCGGTATGATGACCTGTACAAAGGTAACATGAGCAGACCCCGTCGGTGGAAATCAGTGTGGCGCTGGTGTCTTAGTGTGAGCTGAAATTATTTTACAAAGCTTTGTCACGGCTGAGGATCAGAGGCGGGTTAGAACATCCGTGCTTAGGCAAACTGAAGCTGCACCAGCAGCAGAAACGTGGCATCACCAAAAAACTGCTCATACAGGACGACTGTGTGGCTCTGAGGTTCAGGAAGCATCCCTGTTTACCGATTTAGAAGAACAGCTGTGGTGGGTTATCTCAGCTGTGCCCACACAGAAGCTGTACACGAAAGATGGAACGAGCTTCTCGGTCTTAAACCTGCGTTGTTTGTGTTGGCCAGCAGGGGGCGAATCTTCTGGTTGTAAAGTAAATCTGGGTGGAAATGAGCCCACAGTCCACTGATGAGTCCGTGGCCTCTGATCTTTCATACTTATTTATTGTATTGATGCTTTATAACTGAGGAGCCAGAACCTCACGTCACTACATGTCACGTTAACGAGTCAGTGGGCGGTGTCACGGTGGTGACGTCCATCTTTTGTATACAGTCTGTGTTGTGAAGAGGTTGGGTCGGACGCTCTTCACCTTCACACTGCTGTGATTTGGGTCCATAAAAAGAAATAAAACTGAATTAAAAATCTGTTTATTTTCTGTAGTCTGGATTTCATGTCGTGTTTTATTTGTGCTGAAGTGAATATTTATTCAAGCAGCTTTTTTCATTACTTTTTAATTTTGTTATAGTATTTTACTGGTAAATTATAAAGACGATACTTTCAGTAAGGCTTCATATAAATTCTGTCTTATTTAACTTTATTTTCCTACATCTCGGCTCACTTATAGACGTTTCTGCTGAACTGAATCGACTTGTTTAAAAAAAATGTTGTAATAAGTAAAGACTGAACCACGACTTAGATCAGTAAAGAAATCAAACAAGCACCGAACACTGAAGCTCATCCCAGAAACAAGTGCAGGATTTTAAAGGCAATGCTTTAAAATTATTTCATGTTCAAAGAAAACAAGAATTCAGTGTCAGTCGAACTCATCAGGATGGAAAAGCTGGGAAACTTGGACTCTGGTGAAGGAATGAGCAGCTGAGGCACGCCGCACCGATGTAACGGCAGGGCCCGATTAAAGGACCGCTCCAGTTTCTTAGCAGCCGAGTCAGTTTTGACCCTCGCGTCTCGCTCGGACACCGTCCGTGTCACTCGTCCGGCTTCATTAACGTTCACAGAAACGACCCGAGCTGTAACAAACTGGAACTTCCTTTTTTCTGTTTTTAACTGTGTCGCTTTATAAAAACATTTTTGAAGAATTGCACAAATAAATAAAGAGATCAGAGACAGAAAGCGCGACGCTGCAGAGGCGTCACGTGCTGCTGGCAGACAGATCTGCGTCTCGTTGACAAGAAAACACGCTTCTTTAAATCTCACGGGAAACTAGCTGTCTGTGTAGGAAAATCACAAACTTTATTTGATCCACATAGTGAACACTTGTCTTCATGTTACAGTTTAGTCCAGATCAGAAAGTCAAGCCCGCTCGTCCTGTCGTCAGATTTCCTTTCAGTTTGTGAAAGATTCACGCTGAAGCTCGTTGGGGTCGGCGTCCACTCACGGGCTGTCCGTCTTAGTCTTTGCTCAGGCTCCCGCCTCCTGTAGACCCATCTGTGTGTGCGTGTGTGTGTGTGCGTGTGTGTGCGTGCGGTTAAAACCTTCCACCGCCACTAGGTGGAGTCAACGCCACGCAGGCACGAGCTGCAGCATCTCTGTTTGTACGTGTCCACATGGCACAGCCTCAGCCTCCTCACCACACTGCAGTACTGGGTGGTGTCCTCGCATTCACCTGCAGGGAGAAGCACGATGAACACCTCACATTTAGCACCGTGAAAAACATTACAGGTGTGTTTCTGGAGCTTTTAGGTTTTCGATGGTGCAGATTTCACGGTTCTCCAAACGACAGGGAGGCCGTGCGCGCCCACAGACTCCTCCTCATCTTGTTTTGCTATAAGTTGTGACCACCGTGCCTCACAACACTCTGAACAGAAGTTTGGATCCTTCTCACGTTAAACACGGTGCGTCTTTTTAAGGACACAAACTCCAACACCTGACTCGTTCTAAGTCACACTGAATAAAACATTAAGCCCATCCACCCATTTTCTTCTGCTTATCCAGTTCAGCGTTTCCTGCTGACGGGCCGACGGGGCTGACGCAGTCTGCACCCAACCTAACGCCACCACCTGCATGAGGCGGTCGATACGTGTCGATATCGAGCGAAGCTCAAAAACAGGAAGGTTTTTCATTTTTCTGAACGTTAGCGGGTGAAAATGACGGGCTGAGGGCAGCTGTGAGTTTTGTGACACTGACATCACCTCGTGAGCCGCTGACAGCGCGGCCCCGTCCAGGATGTCGTGACGTACGAGGAGCGCCGCCGCCGGTGATTAAAATGAAGCATTTAACATTTACTGACTGTCATTCAGAGCTGCTGGTTTGCTGCTTCAGTTTCAGTTAAGTCCAATCAGCCTGACTGTGCAGCGCCACAAAGGTGAAATTCATCTGCATAAACTTTTACATGAAACTTTAAGAAACCTTCAGGGTTTTTTAGCGGTTTGAATCAAACAAAGTTAAAGTCCAACATGGCCGATCGCACACGCCACAGGTCAGCTGTAGGTTTACGTATTTAACGGCTTCGCCTAAAGAGCGCAGGACGCGGCGCACTTACTCCCACAGGTGGCGGTGTTGCAGTGCTGCCAGGTGGAGGGTCGCTGGAGCCAGGCGCAGTGCTGGTCGGCCAGAGTCCTGCCGGTCTTGCTGTGAACGCAGTCCACCCTGCGGGACTGGAAGCCACTCCCACAGACCACGGTGCACGCTCGCCACGCACCGGGACGCCACTGAACATCGCACAGGTCAGACGAACAGTTGCGCACGGACACCGGTCTGAAAGAGAGACTGGGAGTTATTGATGGGATTGGTGATGAATTCTGATGGTGTCAGTTCTGCTCCGCCTCGGTCGGCGCTACTGGCTTAGAGCTGTGAGCACAACGCCATCCAGCTCTACCTGTGAGGTTTTAATAAATATTTATTCAGTTAGTGGTTGCCATGGGAGGCTAATTAAGCATCCTGCAGGTTAAAGAGAGGTCGCCGTGCTCTGCTGGCCATTTTACAAAGAACGACTCCATCGCTGTACGCAGGAAGTTCTCAGCCTGGAAGCAAAAGAACACTGGATGTGGTGCAGCTGTTCTCGTGGCCGTAGATGGGCAAACTCCACCTGCTGATCTGCCCGACGCTCGGCAGGAAGAAGAAGAAAACGGGAAGGTAGCAACGGTTCAATCCAGCAGCCGCTTGCCAGCGTGCCCGAGCACATCATGAGCCAAACTAACGGCAGCGTGTTTAGCTTTACGGGTTTGAGGTCTCTGTAGAAGAGGAGCAGCTCTGATCACATGGTAGGTACTCAGTTTACTCGTTCCTGGTGGCTGATGGACTCCATCATGGCTGCTCTTTGTCAGTGATTCAGCTGGTGGGTGGAGGATTCTGCGGTCTCAGGTTTCGAAGCTCCAGCTCACACTGGGATTGCCCCGAGCTTCGAGTTCAGGCATCTGACACCGAGGGGATCAGCAGACGGACGATCTGTTGCAGCAAAGAGAGCTGACTGTGAGCAAATCTGTCACATCGCCGGCTCATCCATGTTCCCGCCCTCACATATGGCGGCGAGATGTGAGCAGCGACCGAGAGAACGAGGCTGTGGTTGGTCAGAGTCGCTGCTCCTCCACCTGACTGGGGTGGCGAACAGACCCAGGACACATAATAAGAAGAATACGACGTTCAATAAAAATGCAGTGCTGGCAGATAATAGCGCTCAGTGTATATAACAACACACACCTGCAGACCGACACAGGTAGAAGCCAGAGTGACGCACACATCGAACAGTTTGGGAACATTTCAGTTGTATGAAAGAGTCATTTGGTGTCTGAGCGCGTGCGTACCTGCTCCGGAGGTCACAGTCTGTGTAGGAGGAGCCGTTGGCGTGCTGGCAGACGACCGATCTCTTCTGCAGGGTGGTGGTGGGGCCCAAACACCTCCCCGAGCACTAAGATTCAAACAGTCACAGCTGAAGACTTTCCTACACCGTGTCACGTGCACATGTCTGATTAAACGTCTGACTCTACCTTCCCCCACGGACTGGTCACCCAGACGGGGCAGTTATTGGCGGAGCACGGCTCCGTGTCCGCCGGCCGACTCGTCCCTTCGCAGGCGGCCGCCGGCAGCGTTCTCGCCGCACCTCCGGCGTCGAGCTGCTGACACGTGACCCGCCGCTGCTTCTGGCCGGCGCCGCATGAGGCCGAGCACTTTGACCACTCCGACACCGACCATCTGACACGAAGACAGCGACACACGAAGCACACAAACGCAATAAAAAGCTTCAAATGAAACTCCGTCCAAACATTTCGTCTCTTCCTGGAAAGAAGAATCTGTCAAAGCTGCGCTCGTCTCGTTTTAACTCCTCCCAGGCTCCTCCCGAGGAAACCAGGGGTGACAAACTACAGGAAAAGGCGGAACGATGGGAAGCCTGAGGCTGTTATGCTGCCATCTTTGCTGGCACAGTCCAGGTCCTCTTAAGAGGAAATGTCACTGAAGAAATGTATTCATAGATAAAAATAGATAAAAATCACAAAGTGCTTCACAATAAAACCAGAAATCTGAATAAAACAATGAAAACTTATTAAAAGCTCATTTGTATAGAAATGTCTTCAGCAGAGTGCACAGCGTAGAGACGACAGAGGACAACTCCACAGCCTCAGTGCCTGAAAAGGTTTAACCAACAGTGACCTCTGACCTGAAGACCTGACCCTGCTGGGGAAGAAGCAGGTCAGAGATTCACTGGGGAGCTTCACCATGTAGAGCTCGAAAAGCTCAAACTAAGATGTTAAAGTGAGACCTAAAATGTAGAAGCCTAAACTTCCTGTTAGTGGCGTCCCATACAGCAGGTTTGTTGTAAAAAGAGCATTACAGCCACCTCAGCTCTGCCTTTGACACCTGCAGTCTGAGCTACGTTTGTTTCTTAGACGATAAAAACATGGAGTGATTCTCAACCGACGCTGAGCGTCAAATATGGCGCCCAAATTTCTGAGACTCGATTGAACAAAAGAGCCTGAAAAACCGACACGCTGCTTCATTTGAAAGAAAGAAGTGTACTTTATTGGTCCCCGTGGGGAAAATCCCTCTCTGCATTTAACCCATTCACTCAGTGAAGCAGTGGGCAGCCATTGGGCGCCCGGGGAGCAGTGCGTAGGGACGGTACCTTGCTCAGGGGCACCTCAGGGTAGCTGTTCAGGGGAATCGAACCCCCGACCTTCCGATCATGGGGCCACCACTCTACCTACTGAGCTATCCCTGCCCTAATTTATGAAATTGCATAAACGGGAACAAGCTGTCGTGTCCTGATGGCAGCGATGCTCCACGATTAACTGAGTAACTGAGTAACTGTGGGAAGAGCACTCGGCTGCTGCATCAGGCCAAACGAGGAGTATTTTTATTTTATTCTTTTGGAAGAATGATTTTCATCCAACCCGTGACCAGACTTGCCAAAGAGCACTAAAACTTGAGGTGAGATGAATTACAATGCCCCCCCCGGACTGAAATCTCCACCCATGCTTGTAGCTGTAAACACAGAGCTCCGTCAGCCTGCGGCACTACAGTTGCATCCCGAGCCGAGCTAACAGTGGGTCATTTGTGTTGCATTAGCGAGTGAAGCTGACTCAGTGTGTGGCAGCAGAGCCGGAGGGGGGGTGACTGATGGGCTGTATGATGGGTAAGGGCAGGCTGGCAGCAGCGGGGGGGACTCGGGGTGAGCGGATTCTGCTGAGAGTTACACTTCTGCTGCTCTCGGTGATTCATTAGCGGCCGACCCTCTGCTCATCAAAGTCGGCGTGCGAAGGAGCTGACGCACCGCGGGCACGAAACTCAGAGCGGGAAAGGAAAAATGTCAGTCAGTGGGCAGGTTTATGCTATAATCTGTCAATATCGCGGCGGCGCTCACAGGAAGCGCTGCTCTCGCCTGTTTTTGAAGAAGTTCCTTTAATAAAACACGTCGGCAGGTGACAGGAGAGGCTACGGCTCGAATGTGATTAAAGCTGATTGAACGTCGCCTGCTTACAAAACAGCTAACACCTCAGACACCTGCCCACATTAGTGCCCTGCTCCCCAGCACTGGACGCTTGATGGGCGGAGCCACTAGACAGGTACCCTCCCTCTCTGACAAACGCTGAGCTGCACCCGACCGACCGAGGGAACGCCGCACGCGGGCGGTTCTCCTGGATTTGCCAGAACAGCGAACCGTCTTCTTTTCAGATCAACGATTCATTTTCAGAAGTTTTGGGAGGAGCTGCCTTGTGCTGGACACGCCCCCAAAAACAGAAGCGAAGCTTAGACAGTAACTTCCATCATTCCTTGAAATGCAGCTCGACGCCAGCAGGACGGACTGCACAGCTGGTTAACGCGCTCGGCGTCCACGCTCAGGTGAACATGGCGATCGAGCGTACCTGGGGGGGCAGGCCTGTCTGTTGCAGGGGGCCGGGGACGTGACGGGTTTCGGTACGCGCTGACACATGTCGGGGTGAACGTCCTTTCCGTCCAGGGAGACGCATCG